CGAAATTGTTTCACTTCTAGCTTTCGCGCTTTCGACTTCGCGTTTTCGACTTTGTGTTTTCAACGATATCCCCAATATTGACCTTTAAATTCCAAAAGCATTTTACAACATGTTGGTCCGTACTTTGTCGTTTGTGAGCAAACTAACTATGTTTGTATTACAGTAGCTTTCAGTTTGACCTTTAATCGTTATTCATTAAGCCACTGAAAGTAACCAACCAAGACATTATATGATCAGTATGTACAAATATCAAGTATCATACATGAATCAAGCATATTATCAAGTATCACACATGAATCAAGCATGTTATCAAGTATCATGCATGAATCAAGCATATTATCAAGTATCACACATGAATCAAGCATGTTATCAAGTATCATGCATGAATCAAGCATATTATCAAGTATCATACATGAATCAAGCTTATTATCAAGTATCATACATGAATCAAGCATATTATCAAGTTTGGTATCGGATAGAATAATTAAATTCTCCATTATTACGTAAAGTGCTTGATTCGGTCTTGAGCACGCTAATATTTATTTAGTTTTGGTGCCTTTATGTCTATATAGACATTTGTGCTTTTTCCCTGAAGAAAATCACTAATTCGATGTTAGTGGAGGATTGTACATGTCATAGTCCTTTGTACTTGGTGAATTCTTGTATTTGTTGTTTAAATCTTCTCGAGTTTTTTTGTTTTCTCTTTAAATTTAAATCTGAAATTCTTACTTAATTGAATGGGTATGTGCATTAGTTATGTTAATACATAATGTGTGAATCTCTCTTTTAAGTCATACGTCCATATTTTAACTTAAACTTAACTTCATCCAATCTTTAACGTAGCTTCTCATATAAGGTACATGTGTACATATACTTACCATAATCTCTTCAAGGACATGAAGGTACACATTTTAATCTTTCCAAGGACATGAGTCATACACATACAGCTGCATATCAAGTTTAGCATAATAAAGTTTGTGTTAACAAGACCACTCATAAAGATTTAATTTAAGTACACACAGGTAAAAATTACCTCCCCCTTTTTTAAAACATTTAAGAATTGAATTCTTCTTTTTGTAATTTATCGGTGTGTAAAAGCGTTGAACGAAGTACATTTCGTATGAAGTGCGGAAGCGCTTCATTCTAAAAATGTGCGCACGGTCAACGCTTTTACAACCCTATAAAATTACTAAAAGAAGCATTCAAATTTTGTTTCCTATTCTGACATCGGACTCGGACTTCTCTTAAACTGAGTTTTACTGTGCGTACTGTTGTACGTTTGTTTTTTCTACATTGGCTAGAGGTATCGGGGGAGGGTTGAGATCTCAAAAAACATGTTTAACCCCGCCGCATTTTTGCGCCTGTCCCAAGTCAGGAGCCTCTGGCCTTTGTTAGTCTTGTATCATTTTTAATTTTAGTTTCTTGTGTATAATTAGGAGTTTAGTATGACGTCCATTATCACTGAACTAGTATACATATTTGTTTAGGGGCCAGCTGAAGGACGCATCCGGGTGCGGGAGTTTCTCGCTGCATTGAAGACCCATTGGTGGCCTTCGGCTGTTGTCTGCTCTATGGTCGGGTTGTTGTCTCTTTGACACATTCCCCATTTCCATTCTCAATTTTAATACTTATAATTACATTTGTTTTTGCTAGGATCATAAAAACACGAATTCTGTCAAGTTTTTCTTTTATTTACTTGTGTACTTTATTATGGTAGCTCGTGTCATCATGAATGTAACATTTCATTTTGAAATGAAGGTTAATTTCAGGATGACGCGCGATTGCTGTTAGCCAATAAAAATAACGTATTATAATGAAACGTACATGTAATTAAAGACATTTAAAGCCGTTGCATTACATTTCCGCGCAAAAATCATTACCTATGTGCGCAGCTTTTAATTACATTTGCGTGCATTCTTTTACAGCCAAACTCAGGCAAACACAGGTATAGGTTATACTTATTTATTTAACTATTATTTTCTAGCCAGATAACTTAGTTTGCTAGCTTATCTGTCTAATACGAATTGTGATGATTATTTTCAAGTACCTTTATTATTCATTGCTAATAGCAATCTGACGTTGTTTTTTACGATTTGTTATACATATTTTTCAAGCATTTGAAATAAACTTGTTTTGAAGTCTGAGTCAGAATTGTTCTAGGTATTACATAGACATTGCTCATAAATACGTAGATCAATTTCCTACTGCTGAGTTTCGACTGTCTTTTGCATGGAAAGTGACCTGGAATAACCTACGAGCTGACTATTATATGTCGCTTAATGTGGCAATAGTTATACTGGTCGCATTTAAATTAACGGAAAGTATCTTAGCGAAGAAACAAACTTAAATGTAACTTCAAGGTTTTTCTATTCAGTTGTGATTTTGTTTTATTTACAGAAACATTTAAGTGTTTTCATTAATATTAAATCGACCACACACACTTTTATGAAGTATTAAATTACAATCGATGAAAATGGCACATTATCAAATTGTTATGCAAGTGAAAATTTATTGAACATTGTTTTATTTTGCAGACAGAATTGTACTTATTGACTGTCTAGGCAAAACGTATTGTTAATGTTAGGTCCCCTGGTAACGTCGACTATTTATGAAATGTTGGAGTGTTTAGTAATGACCTTCGAAAACAGTAGCCATGCAAGGTCGTTTGATAGATTGATTGATTGAATACTGTTTGTTTTACGTTGTCTAAGCAAAAAAGGCTGTATCCCAGTAAGCCAAGGTCGAAGACATACTGGTAGTGCACGAATTGAAGGTACTATGTCTCCAATCGGATCCAATCGAGGCTACAATTTCAAATGGTCAAATGCTAAACATAATTTTCTTAATTGTTATACTGACTGTTGTGTTTCAACAAACCAGTATGAAATAATTTCAATATATCCGTTATAGCATAAAATCGAAGAACTTTTTTTTAGTATCCGAAAATGCTTCTCGCGACAATTTTATTCCAAACAGACGGCAATAGTTATTTTTTTACTTTATGTCCATTATAGCATTAAATCGAAGAACCTTTTTTTAATATCCGAAAATGCTTCACACAACAATCTTATTCCAAACAGACGACAGTGGTTAAATTTTTACTTTGTATCTACTTAAGTTTTTCTTTTATAAAAGGATTTGAATATTACACTTAGATATATACGTAGTTCGCCAACTCACGGGAACATACTATTGACTAACAATAACATTAGATATGTTTCATTATAATACGTTATTCTGATTGGCTAACTGCAATCTCGCGTTATTCCTTAATCAACTTCATTTCAAAATGAATTGCAACATTCATGATGACATGTGCTTGTACAATAAAGTGCACAGGTAAATAAAAGAAAAAACTTGATAGTAATCGTATTTTCATGATCATAGCGAAAAAATGTAATTATAAGTATTGAATGCTTCTTTTAGTAACTTCATAGGGTTGTAAAAGTGTTGACCGTGCGTACATTTTTAGAATGAAGCACTTTCGCGCTTCATACAAAATGTACTTCGGTCAACGCTTTTACACCCCAATGAAGTTACAAAAGAAGCATTCAATTCTTAATTAACAACAGCTTTACTGACTAAAAGGCAATGGTAAATATAACATTGATTTCCGCAAATACGACGTATCACCTTTTTACGCGTGGCATGAGCCACGCGACTGGTAGCACTCATGTAGCAGGAACTGCTTGCTCTTGTTCTCTATCTTCGGTATGGTAAACAAAAAAATATTTTGGCAATTTGTAGACGATTTTGGAATAGATCATTTACATTTACCGACGGTTAATGAATTTGTTAATGTGAAAAATTAGACAAAACATATTTACCAATCCATTTTAGTACATTTATGACACTTTTTTAATGACATTGAGTAATCAGATTTTAACATGAGTGGTATATCACGTTTTATAAATGTCTGACAAAGTTATGCCAACCTAAACATTTATTTCTTTACAGTTTTTGTTAAACAAATGATCCTTTATGCACCTTTAAATGGTGCAGTAAATAGGTTTTGATATACAAAAAAAATCATCTGTATACAATTTTAGTTTTATTAAACCGGTTTCAGTATCGCAGTTTTTTTCTGATGAATAAAACTATCGCTTTCGTAAATCTTTGCAATATAAATTGATAGATATATCAAATGAATGTAAAAATTCTTCATGGTGGTTCATGAGTCATTATACATGTAGAACCTTTATCAAGATCAATAAACTGATTTACCATTGAAACGAATTTCATTATGACAGAGCAACGTATGACATTAAAAAGAGTTCCAAAGTGTTATTTGGTAAACTTCTTGTGACGGAATGAATATTTCTCAGTTGGTTTGATATCCGCGTGTTTGCAGCGAGACTGATTTCAATGCGCATACTATTTTCATTACTTAAAAAACTTTTCTAGTAGGGATATAAATAACCTATGTATGGTTCCACGTGTATACATTGTACATAGATTTAATAACGGCTATATTGTTTATAATATTGATTTCTTACAAATTGTCCTTCAAATTTCCTTGACAGAATAGACTTATTGATGAAGGTTATAACATACAGTTATTGTTCAGTCACTGTGTCTGATACTTTTGGGGGATACAATACTAAAATGATTCTTTTCTGCATAATTTATTCTGGAATTGTATGGAGGTAATTTTATTCTGGTATTGCATGAAGGTAATTTTATTCTGGTATTGCAATAAGGTCATATTATTCTGGTATTGCATGAAGGTCATTTTATTCTGGTATTGCATGAAGGTCATTTTATTCTGGTATTGCATGACGATGGATTATTCTACTGTATATGGCGTTGCTGTATGAAATCTTATTGGAAGTACAGCAACTAATTGTAAGTGTATTACGGTCTCATTTCTAAAAGATGAAAATGACACTTAATAAATTTCGTGCCTAAGAAGCGCTTTTCTTGAATTACATTCATCAGGAATGTTCAGACCTAATTATTTAAAATCCAGGGATGTATAAATACGAAGAAACATTAGAAGCTATATGAGAAAAAGGCACATCTTTATTTTTTTCTAAATAAAAAGAGTAGTCAAATTCATAATACATAGTAATACCGTAGATCAAATTTATTTAGTCTTTCTTTCATAATTTTATTTATTTTCCCCTTTTATGGTTGCAAAATCTATTTATAGTACAACAACTTATTAACTTAATGTCAAAACGAAACACTTGAATAGCTGTCTTATAACAATTCCTGGTCTATCATTCTTTAGGATACTTTGATTAATGACATTGTCATTGATGTACCATCTTCCAGCTGAATTGTCTGGAAAGCAATAATCAAAATATTTAGTGATTACGTAGAAAACGATAATTGTTTACTTAAAGATACAGTCAAATGAAAACGATGTCGAGCTAAAATTTATATATCTACGAAAAACCAGTAAGGACATTCTGTTGTTAAAATTTCTCATTTCAAACTTAACATTTCTCACTTCAAATGGACATTTCTCATTTCCAAATTGACATTTCTTAGTCATGTTAGTTCCAGCTTGACATTTCTCTATTTCAAGTTGAAATTTCTCCGTTCTATTTTTACATTTATCAAATGGAAATGCCAAAAATCCATACCGATGAAGAGTATTTAAACAAAAAGGGCCGAAACAGTACAGACAATACAATCTATGGTAAACAGTTACTTAAGAAATTGCCACATTAGTTTAAGCAAAATGATATAATAATTTCATGAACTAGTAATTTACATGTAAAATACATGTATATATTAAAAATATGCATTCCACTGTCGAAGCAATGATATATACAGTGGTTGTTATCCCTAGGTACTGATAAACTCCAAACAGCAGTACCGATACAATGTTAGAAAAAAGTAGGATAACCAACAAAATCTCCTTTGTTTAAAAGTCTCTTTTTGTATTATTATTCAAATCCTTCCTTTACTAATTTATTTTTGTTTAAGCGTTATTTGTGACGCATCATATCCCCAAAATATCTTACCTCTAGCATGTTCTTGCCGTTAACTACCCGTGTTACTCTCAATTTCTTCCAACCAGTAAGTTCACCCTGTTCCACTTCTATCATTTTTGTATCAGACTCGACTGTGATAGTATACTTGAAATCAATAAAAAGACAAAAGATTTTTTTTACTTCTAACATCTAACGAAACTTATTTTAAACAAGCATATGTGCCCATTGAACAATATGCCCCGCTCACACTGTACATTTAATTATTTTAGTGAACCATTATACTGGATCAAAACTCTAATTTTGCATATCATGTAAAGAATTCATATCATAATGAACGTGAGTACTCAGTTTCAAGTCTATATGATGAACAATCTATAACAAAAAGTTTGAAAAACAAGACAAACAGACCTGAAATATAATGCCGTCCACCCATGCTATGGTAGGCTGGAAATGAAATGACGGCAACATGTATATAAGGACTGGTCTTTCACCACGACATTTTATTATTCATTTGTTTTTAAAAAAAATGGTTTTATGAATAATTATAGGGGAAATCAATATGGTTCCAAATACAGCAAAAATGAAAATGATATGTAAGTTTAAAAAAAAAAGCTATTCTCATTGCAAAACATATGACTTGTTACAAAATCAGAGACATGACGTTACCTTTACTCCCTTTCCAAACATATCAGTTGATGTCACTTCCTCTCCAGACTTGAATTTGTATGTTTTATCTGGACCAGCTGTGCTTTTAATATCACAACTCCACATGTCGCCTTCTTTTTTGAATTCTACCTCAAATTTAGCATTTCTGAACTGCTCAACATATTCACTAGGTATTTCTGAAATAGATTAAGAAAATATCAAACTCATATTAGAATGCAAAGAATTACCATGATTTAATTAAATATGATACAGAGGAAGATGAGTGAGTAACCTAGCAAGTGAACATGGACATCTATATATAGATTGAACGGTAAGTTTTGCATAAATCTAAACTTTAGCAGTATAGCTAAATTTATCAAAATCTCGCTAAGCCTTCAAAAGAGTTTTGTTTGTTTGTCATTTTAAAGAGATATAAATAAGTCTTTAGACTGAGCATCTATTGCATTAAATAAATTTTGCATAATGTCGTTTAAAGAAAAATGTATTTAAAACATTCAATTCGATAATAAACATGTCCCTTAAATGCTTGTGTTTTGACCATTTAAAATAATGATAACACGTAATTATATATTCAGATGTTTTAACAATAATAAAAGAACAGAGTTCCGATGTCCCCCGCTTTGCACATATTTTATCTATCCAAGGTTCAAGGGCAATAACTAAATAAAACACTTTATTTTTGTAGCGCTAAGAAGGCCATTTTCCATAAATCTAATATTTCCAAGGGCATAACTCTTTTAAAAATAGTCGATCGGCCACCATTATAGAACTTTTTCGAGATATTGCTGTTATTAACCTATAGTTTAAGTTTTATAAAAATATGGCAAGAATTGTACCCTTGAGAGCGCTAACGTGGCCATTTTCCATAAATTTAATATTTTCAAAGGACATAACTCTTAAAAAAAGTCGATCGTCCACCATTATAAAAAGAGTCCGAGATATTGCTGATATTAACCTATAGTATAAGTTTTATAAAGAACTGGCAAAAATTGTACCCGTGGGAGCGCAAACGAGGCCATTTTCCATAAATTTAATATTTCCAAGGGATATTACTCTTTTAAAAAAGTCGATCGTCTAACATTATAAAACTTGTCCGATATATTGCTGATATTAACCTGTTGTATAAGTTTAATAAAAATCTGGCAAGAGTTGTACCTGTGCGAGCGCTAACGTGGCCATTTTCCATAAATTTAATATTTCCAAGGGGCATAATCCCTTAAGAAAAAGTCGATCGGCCACCATTATAGATCTCGCTCGAGATATTGCTGATATTAACCTATAGTATAAATTTTATAAAAAATCTGGCAAGAATTGTACCCGTGAGAGCGCTAACGAAGCCATTTTCCATAAATTTAATATTTCCAAGGGATGTAACTTTTTTTAAAAAGTCGATCATCCACCATTATATAACTTTTCTGAGATATGCTGGTATCAACCTTTAGTATAATTTTTATACAAATCTGGCAAGAATTGTAACCGCGAGAGCGCTAATGAGGCCATTTTCCATAAATTTAATATTTCCAAGGGGCATAACTCTTTTAAACCTAGATGTGTCGGAACGACACGAATGGTCCCGTCTCAATGTATAGATAGGATCCAGCTCTCAAGATCAATACTAGTTTGATGAAAAATGTCCTTGATCAATGAGTAGTTAAATTTCAAACTATCAGCAAACAGGAAGTGGATGTACTGCAGATCTAACAAGATGTGTTGAAACAACATGAAAATCAGCATAGCGGAACGAAACATTAACTTGAACTGTAACTCATCATGGTAGACTCATTGTCATTTGCTTAGTTTCTTTTGTTACTTATTCTGACATCGGACTCGGACTTCTTTTAAACTGATTTTTACTGTGCGTATTACTGTGTGTTTGTTAATTCTACATTGGCTAGAGGTATAGGGTTGAGATCTCACAAACTGTTTAACCCCGCCGCATTTTTGCGCCTGTCCTAAGTCAGGAGCCTCTGGCCTTTGTTAGTCCTGTATGTTTTTTTTAAATTTTGGTTCATTTATATGTTTCAGAGTTTAGCATGTTTAGTGTGACGTCCATTTTCACTGAACTAGACAGTATACATTATTGTTTAGGGACCAGCTAAATCCCACTGCTGGGTGCAGGATTATCTCACTGTGTTGAAGACCCATTGGTGGCCTTCGGCTGTTTTCTGCTCTTTGGTCGGGTTGTTGTCTCTTTGACACATTCCCCATTTCCATTCTCAATTTTATCACATATAAAAAATCAGCGCAATATTTGAAGGCGTTTAGAAAAAAGTCCGTATAACTGTGATTTTCAACAATTTATCAAAGTGCAAAACCCGTAATTTCAGCAAAAATCAGCAGAGCGGAACGAAACTTAAACTTGATCTGTAACTCGTCATGGTTAACTCACATACCAAAAATAAGCCCAATATCTGAAGGAGTTTAGAAAATAAGTCCGGATAACTGTGATTTTCAACAATTTATCAAAGTCCAAAGTCCCTTATTTCGGCAAAAATTAGTAGAGCGGAACAAAACTTAAACTTGATCTGTAACTCATCATGGTTAACTCACATACCAAAAATCGGCCAAATATCTGAAGGCGTTTAGAAAAAAAGTCTGTATAACTGTGATTTTCAACAATTTATCTAAGTCCAAAGCCCGTAATTTCGGCAAAAATTAGCAGAGCGAAACGAAACTCAAACTTGATCTGTAACTCATCATGGTTAACTCACATACCGAAAATCGGCCAAATATCTGAAGGCGTTTAGAAAAAAAGTCTGTATAGCTGTGATTTTCAACAATTTATTTAAGTCCAAAGCCCGTAATTTCGGCAAAAATTGGCAGAGCGGAACGAAACTCAAACTTGATCTGTAACTAATCATGGTTAACTCACATACCAAAAAATCAGCCCAATATCTGAAGGCGTTTAGAAAAAAAGTCTGTATAACTGTTTGTTGTGGAATGACGGTATAACGGAATGACGGACAAGGGTTAAACTATATGGCCCCGACAATTTTGTTGCGGGGCCATAAAAAGTCGATCGGTCACCATTATAAAACTTGACCGAGATATTGCTGATATTAACCTATTATAGTATAAGTTTTATAAAAATCTTGCAAGAATTGTACCTTTTAGAGCGCTGACAAGACCGGACGGACGGACGGACACTACATGTACAACTAGTTACCCAAGTCGTTCATACTAGATAGAACTAATAAATAATATGCATGTGTAATACCATAATCGGTAGTTACTCACAGGATATCTTAAAGAATCAGTTATTGTCACAAGGTCACCGCAAATACGATTTAGACTACTATCTATGTTTTTGTTTTTTTTTATCCCTAAAGTGATTATTCATCACAGATATCAACACCTCGGCTTTGAACCATATCCTGATGAAGGTAAATCAAGAAATGCGTTTCAGAAGCCTCAAATCTATGTTATTAGAGGGTTTCCCGATTTGCTACGTATCGGGTACGGTTGGTACGTAACTCAACCGTTAGTGTTGTTTTGGAGATTTAAAGCAGGGGATTATTTTATTCATCATGTTAAAATTAAAGAAATCGAATCGCATATCAGCGAAAACTACCGTAACCTTTTATTTGATAACGATTTCATCGTTTCTATAACACTTTGTGTGTGAATCTAAATGAGATTATTTAGTTAATGCAGAAGTGCATGAATCAAACAGACCTTACACGAACTGAGTTGACACGGCCTTTAGATTCTAAATATAGATTTGCGTTTCTGTTATTTTTAGGTATTGTTTTGTTTATATTTAGAAAAAAAGAAAATATTTTCCAATGTATAAACAGAATTTGGAATAATTAAAATACTATCTATGAACAATTTTCGTAAACATGTGATACTGATCTGGTTATATACGTCAACATGTCAAAATTTGTTGATTTCTCATTATTTATTTAAAATTATTTAAGAAATCTATTTCGATCATAACAGCAGAACATTTGAGTGAGAAAGGGGCTCTCTTCTCATTTTTTTTTTATCAACAACGGAAGATTTTTTTCTAGAAATGCATTCTAAAAAATAAACTGAAACATACTGAAAAATAAATTTACAATTCTGCTGCCGATGAAAAAGACCCCAATGTCTAGAATCATTGAATTAAAAAACAAGAACAATTCTTGATGGTCTCGTGGTATCATGTTTTCCTCGAGTGTGGGAGGTGTGGGAGGCAAAGCCTCGCTTTCTAGATGTTTCTAAGCCTTGTACCAATAAAATTTATATTTCGAGATTACATAAGTAAGTGACAATATTTAATTTATTTAAAGAATGCAAAGAATATTACTAAAAAGGAAAAAGCACGAGAGTGCAATATAATATAATTAAGTTTGTACAGTCCGTTTTAAGATTTATACTTGCACATTTTTTTTTCAGTTTGTCACAAATGTCGCGCGATTGAGAATCGTTTTATACTTATTTCATATTAATACATTATTACGGGGGGTTAATTTAATTTTGTAAGTTAAAATGGCTCTTATGTTTTTCATGTTTTCTAAAAACCTACCAATAAAATTCAAACCTATTCATTCGATACTGTTATAATAATATAACTGATGAACATCAGATAAAATATAAATGTGCCTGATGTTTTAGGTTGTTTTTTTTTGCAGCAATTTCAGGGGAAATACATTTAAGCTATAAATCGTTTGTGCAACGGTTACTTGCAACGGTTGCTTTAAAGCATAATAGAGTACACCCACTTTTGTTTGCTATACATAAGAAAAACATCCACGTTAAATTAATACCAAGTTGCAGCTACAAATCCTCCAAATACTTTTGATTATTATTCATAAAACGTACGTCGATATTAAGTGTATATATATCAATTATTTTCAAAAGTTCAACGACGGCTCCAATTTCGTACTACGGTTGGTACGGTAGCAAATCGGGAAACCTCTAATATCAATTTCTGAGAATTGTTCAATCACGAATTGAAAACTTTTCGATATTTAAATTCTTGGATTTGGTTTTTTTTTTTTTTTTTCTTCAACGGAAAATTAAAAAGAAAATGTTCGGAATTATGTAATTTTCCACGAAACAGATACTTAGTACGACGCATTTGAAAACCGGCCCTTAACTGTGTCAAATAAACAAAATAGCGAAGCAATTAGATTCATATTTCAATCAGGTGCGTATCATATTTATTGTACTCATATTTCACAAATGAATGTACATTTTATTATTTTTTATAACCGAGTACGGAGAAAAACCGTTGCAATTCCATACTAAATATATGTGTTGGTACCATTTAAACCTGTTTTATATAGATTCTTACATTGGTATTATCGGATTTATCCAATCGAGATTGTTAAAGTATTGAATTTAAAATCAAGATTTAATAAATCTAATAATCTAAGAGTAACTTTGTAAGTTTCTGTTTCTCTAAATAAATGATTATCAAATAAATTTTCATTTTTTTGACAAACGAAAATCCTCTTCGAGTGCATTCCACATTTTATAAAGTTGTCAATTTCTCTAACATCTGTTAGCGCATTTCGATTCATTCAGTGAGCCGATAAAGGTTATGACCCTTAAACTCAGCCAATCATCTTCTGAGATCATCATCAACCACACGCTGATTATTTGTTTTATACAATTGGTCAAAAAGGGTTAAATTGCCAAAAAATTAGAGAAAGTAACATATCAGAATGCAGTCCAAATCATAATTCATGCTGTTTTCTTCAGTTTACCTTAAATTAAATTGCATCTAGACAATGTGTCGGGTAATCAGACACCGAACAATCATCTTTTGTGGAGGGGGAAGGGGCTAGTTAACTCTTTTATTCTTAATTTTTTGAGAAAAAAAAATCATAGAAGGGATGTTAAAAACAAATAGTTGGAACCAATGGAAACAACGGGAAAAACACATTCAATTTTCCTAAAAAAAATTCTTGTTATCGGGAAAAGTTCGTTTTGATAAAAGTTAAACAAAAACAGTTCCGAGAAGAAAAACATATGCAACCTCGAAAGATGAAAGGTCAGTACCTCATGTGAAAATTGAAGTCTACTCCTTATATAATTGTGAGACCAAACCCTTATTGATAGTTTTGGACATTTATCACAGAGAGTCTTGCCACTTCAAACCTCCGTTTGAATTTGTATATGATATAACTGACATATATTGTACAGAACAATTATACTTACCGGATGCCTTTGAAAATTCGTCATAATTTGTGTATGAGCTTCCGTCCCCTTCCCATTTTCCAATAAATTGTGCCATTTTGATTTCAAATTTCTAAAATCCCTATATTTCACGAGAGAAATCTACACACTGTTCATTTAAAAATCGAAGAAAACTTAACTATTTAAACAAACCTTAAATGAGTAACCTACATTTTGACCTGTTATATATCAACAGACGACTGTAAATCATACATTGTCCCTTTGTTAAGAGTTGACATTCTATTTAAATTCAATAGAAGTGTATTTATGACATACTTATATATGTACATGTACATGCATTTAATCAGTATTAAACCTTTTTAATCTTAACATATTTAGACAATTTTCCAATCTTTACGGTCAGATTCAGTTATGATTTTCCATTTACTGCAATTTGAACTTTACGAGCAAACTTAGAAAAAACAGAAGCCATTTGGATTGGGTCAAAAGCACATTCAAAAGAAATATTTCACCAAGGAGAAAGATTAAACTGGAATCAGACAGGGAAATTTAAACTCTTAGGTATAAACTATGATCATTTTGCTGTCGACAAGACTGCCTTTAATTTTCAAGAGAAAATTGAAAAGATAAATGCATTATTAAATACTTGGATTTACCAAGATCTTTCATACCTAGGAAAAATTACAGTCATAAAGTCTTTAGCATTGCCAATTCTCATGCAGTCATTAACAATATTGCCAAATCCCTCTTTTGAAAATTTTAAGAAAATTGAAAATATTTTTTTTAAGTTTCTATGGAATGGTAAACCAGATAAAATCAAAAGAAATGTTCTAATTGGATCATATGATACTGGTGGGCTAAATATGCCTCATATTGAATCCTTCTGTTATGCACTGAAAATGACGTGGATCTATAAATTATTGGACCCTTTCAATCTTTCTCCTTGGTAAATTCTTTTCAATGATAAATATAGAAAATATGGTGCAGATAAAATATGGATGATGAATAAGGATAGTATTAAACAAATTTCAATATATTTTAATAGATTTTGGAAGGACATCCTTCTTAATTGGGCCAAACTGAGGAATGCTGCCCATGACCAAAATGACTTTATAGGCCAACCTATTTGGCTTAATGCACTTTTAAAAATTGATAATAAAACTATTTTCTATGAAAAATGGTGTGAGGCAGGAATATTTTTTGTCAATGATTTACTGAATGAGAACAATGAATTTCTCTCTTTTAATCAATTTAAAGAAACATACGATATTAATACAAATTTTCTTCAATTCTATGGTATATATCATATGATCCCAAGTAGCTGGAAGGACCACATCAAAAACTGTGAAAAGAAAATCAACATTACTTGCGATGATTTAGACTATTTGAAAACAAATCAGAAATCATACCCATATTTTTCTAAATTAATTGTGTATACTTATCATGAAAACCCCATAAAATCACAAAATAAATGGAAAGAAATTTTGCATATAGAAATAGGTTACTGGGATCTTTTCTATATGCATCCTTTCAAGTGTTCTTTGAGTAATAAACTGATCATTTTTCAATACAAAATTCTGCACAGAATTTTATGCACAAATGATCTGCTATATAAGTGTCAACTTAAAGAAACACACCTATGCAGTTTTTGCAATGAAACAAGAGACAATAGAACATATGTTTTGGGAATGTTACATTGTCAAAATTTTTTGGCTTCAACTAGTTGATACATTACATTCAGATAGCAATTATGAGCTTCTAATATCAAAACAAAACATCCTCTTGGGATCAGATATTATAGATATCTCTGGAAATTTTTTCACTGTTCTCATGAAGTACTACATTTATTCTTGTAGAGTGAGCTCACTGTTACCTTGTGTTAAGATTGCACTAAAGAAATTGAAAAATTATTATATTATTGAAAAACTTTCTTCCACCTTTCACAGTTCTCCTGCAATAGGTGAAAAAATAGGAAAAAAATGGGAACCATTTCAACAATTAATTTTATGATACAAGAAAGATAACTCATACTTAACTGAAAATAAATGTGTAACACAACTGGATGCACATCACAATTGGACAGTGGTTAGTGTGTATCCTATAGATATTATATATATGTATGTAAGAATTAAATGTGTGTTACTATGTTATGATAATAAGAGTTAAAATACTGGTTTTTATATGATTTCCAGATATTGTCGGGAAGAGAAAATAACAACAAAATACAAATGTATGTCATTATATATATAATTTTCTTTATGAGTACATGTACGAATAGAATAACTATGTTGCATCAATAATAATAATAATCTTTTAATATCATTTTAATCATATATGAATCATACATGAATATAAGTTAATGATTTTTTTGTTTTTTTTAAATTTTTTTTTTGTATGGGGAGGGGGATAATATAAGCGCTGACACTGGCAGGTCAAAACAAATAAACATGTATTGTATTCTTCTTTGATAGAAAAAATGCATATAATTATTGTATGAGATGAAGAAATACAAAATAAAGAATTATAAAAAAAAAATTGTGAGACCAAACCCTTATTGATAGTTTTGGACATTTATCACAGAGAGTCTTGCCACTTCAAACCTCCGTTTGAATTTGTATATGATATGACTGACATATATTATACAGAACAATTATACTTACCGGATGCCTTTGAAAATTTGTCATAATTTGTGTATGAGCTTCCGTCCCCTTCCCATTTTCCAATAAATTGTGCCATTTTGATTTCAAATTTCTAAAATCCCTATATTTCACGAGAGAAATCTGCACACTGTTCATTTAAAAATCGAAGAAAACTTAACTATTTAAACAAACCTTAAATGAGTAACCTACATTTTGACCTGTTATATATCAACAGACGACTGTTAATCATACATTGTCCCTTTGTTAAGAGTTGACATTCTATTTAAATTCAATAGAAGTGTATTTATGACATACTTATACATGTACATGTACATGCATTTAATCAGTATTAAACCTTTTTGATCTTAACATTTTTAGACAATTTTCCAATCTTTACGGTCAGATTCAGTTATGATTTTCCATTTACTGCAATTTGAACTTTCAATACCATAGAATGTGTATAGAAAAGCTAAAATTTTCAATTTTTGTTAACAGAAAAATCACACAACTTAAAAAGAAAGAAAAAAAAATGATAAATAAGATCGAACAATATTTAGACAGCATATCAACAAACATCTAGGAAAGACAACCCCGAAAAATCAATAAAACTGTATACATGTATATGACAATCGTCCAACGATCAATATATGAACTCCTTTTTTGAAACAATGATAGACTGGAAGAAAACTTAGGTGACAAAACTGTCACAACACAAGATCCAAAAATCTCAAAGGAGTATTAACTGGCCACCATCGTGTTTAAAAATCCCTAGGGATTCTGCAACGTGCATATTAAGTATACAAACAGTTCCAATGAAATATGTGCAACTGACGAACATACCAGTATAGTTCAAGTCAAATATGACTTTTTGTTCATAATTTTAACTTTATCATAAAATATTCAAAAGGCCAGTATTTGGTTCTTGAAAGATTTTATTCAAAAGACGTAATGCTATGTAAAACAAATCTTTTCAAAATAGTACATTATAGGCTCCCAAGTTGACACAGTTGGGTTGACATAAAATATCATGAATATTTTAAGACGCGCGTATGGTGTACCATATTATAAGCCTGTCATTTTTGACGAATTTTAAGCACATACACAAACAGTGGTTGTATTCAAGTAATGTTACGTACACATAAACCTATTTTAGACGTAAAAGAAAGACACACAGCTACCAACAGGATAACTACTGATTTTAAAGGAGAAAAAAAGAAGGCACACAATTTGGAAAGCACATTCAAATTGCAACTACAGGATGATTGCTAAGATAAGTACAATTTTTGGTTAAATACGTCTCCGGCGTGAAAAACAGAAACTAGAAAAAAACGAAAATTACACTTTATAAATTTAATGCGCCCAAATCCTTTTTCTAAGTTTATTTTCATCATGAACGCACAAAAACAAATATTTGAAGCCAAGGATGTATAAGTAAAGAAACACGAGAAGAGCAATATGACCAAAAAGAGACTTATATAATACCCAAATTTATCTTATCCAAATTTTCCGAGGGAGTTGAAATCTAAGTTTCATAAAAAAAAAATTTTAAACTGACAATTTACGACAGATATGTTATAAATAATGTCAAAACCGAAGCACTAACAAACTGAGTGGACTACTTAATACGTTTCATGAGAAATAAAAGGCTTATGAAGATCTATTACAAAATCAGATTGAAATGTTCAGTTTGTTGTGACAGAAAAGTTGGTATCTAGATTTTCACAAGGATGGGTCAAACCAAAGACTGTAAACTTGGTATTTGCTGCTTCTCCGAAATGCACGCGACATTAATAAGTAAGAGCGAAGACTGGTAGACTAGGAGTCAAAATAATGTGTTCTGGTAGGGTAACATGTCTTTCTGTGGACTGTTACTTTGTGAACTAGCACGTTTAAAATACGGCTCAGCGTGTCTGTCTAGTACACAGCAGAGCTCATATTAATATCACACTACCATGTTCTTGTCCAGAATATGCATTTAATGTTGACCTCGGCAACACTTTTGTTAGAGTGATAATCAATATTTCCTACATACATGTTTTCGTCTTTGGTAAACCCTTTTTCATTTACCTTTTTTTTTATATTTATTCGTGACACGATCATACAACAAAACAAAAACAAAGAGTGGGCGCAAACACAAATATTGGTAAACGGGGCTGTATCGAAATTAGCAAACAGATATGTGGCGATCCTCTACAACGGAACCGGATGCAAAGTGACCTGTAGTTAACACCATTGTCCGGTCTTGTCATTGGTCCTCGATCCTTGCAATTGACATAAACTAACAGCTAGAGTTATAAGCAAACGTAATTCTGCTTGAAAACATTTAACAGTGACAATATTTAAGGGGTTGCACTTTCTCAAATTGATTGGAATACGATACTTAAGCATATTTTGAATCTCAAACAATATCATAGACATAGCTATTCAAACAAATAGATTTATATAAATCATGTTTACCGCATTATCTAACTTTTTAATAATATGTGAGAATGGATTGTTGTTGAAGTACAGTCAAATAATAACATGCATTCAGGATGAGAAGATGTTGATGCGATATAGAATTAA